GAAGACCGGCATTATGTTTTTAATAATGTTAATAAAGTTTTGAGGATATTAGTTTTTTGATGTTAATAGTCTTCGTGAAAAAGAAAAAATAAGTCTTTTTTAGTTTGGACATAATTAATATTTTCCCATTTCAGACCACGTGTCATTCACTAGGGTACCAGTTCTTTGTCTAACAGTTGTGCGCGGGAAGACACATAAATAAGGATACAGCTCAAAAAAATATGTTATTCCCAAGAGAATGACACGTGGTCTGAAAGGAAAACAAAACATTATGTCCAAACTAAAAAATGTATATTAATGAACTTACAACTTACATTAGCTACCTCACCCTCATTAGATTTTCAAACTAACCTGCATTCTGTGTGTTGTTTAAGATGCCGTTGTAAGGCGCATGTCGGAACTGAATGATCTTGTCACCAGTATCTTTGGAGTAAGTTGACGAGGCAGAAAGCTGATGAGGCGACAAGCTTATGAGTTCAAAACCATTGCCACAGGCTGAAAAAAATATGACAAAAAAATCAGACACATACCGTTATTACATAGTCCATCTATGAAACAAACTGTGAGCCGGTCGTTATAATACATAGTACAGTAATACATAATCAATCTGAGAGTCCATATAATCAATTGAAGTAGTTTCTTCAATTTGACAGCAAAGCCTATGAAACGGATTTTCAAGACTCTTAATAATAAAAAATGGTGCCACTTGAGCTCTTAACGTACTTCTGAGATCTGGATAGCCATAGGAAGCAGGCTGATTAGGTTTACAGCTGCTTGACGTAGCTGGCCATGGGGACTCTGCTTCTGGCTTGGGAACTGCCGGGTTATTCGTAGATGGTCGGGTTTTATTAGAGATTAACATGTGAGGTTATATTTTGGTAGCATTGGAGAGGTATTGTTAACATCAGGTGTCGATGGAGTGTAGTTTGACGGCAAAGGGATTTGAGTCATCGTAGCATTAGGAGTTGACGGTTCAGGAGGCAACGGTACATTTTGAGAAGATTGCGTTGATGATCCATTGGTCAATTGTGGATTAGTAGAGTTTGCATTTGGGTTTATTGTAAAAAGAGCAAAGGAATTGCCAGATGATACGTAGGGGGGAGGGGTATGGGGAGTGGTAGGTCTCACTTATGCTAATGAGTGTGCCAAATGAACCATCCTTTAATCGCTCAGCGTTATTCTTTATATTCTTCGATTGCACGTTAAGTCATCGCGGCCATGTTGGTGCCATTTAACAAAAGATTTCTAATGGTTTTGAAGAAACCCAAGAAACGAAATCTGATCACTACTATATACAGTATATAAAACACTAGAACTGTAACAGTAAATAAAGCCAACACGATTTTTGAAGTAACTTTAAAGCAACTTCAGATAAAATTGGTGGAGGGCATTGAATATACCTCTCATTGCAGTCAGATGACCACCTTCCCAATGTTTTAACCAACCATGGGGGTAGGCCCACTGAGGCTGCGGTTGTTTCCGCACCAGTTCTAAAACTATGACCAGCATAATCCGATGCCTGATAACCCAAATAGGAAAGAAGTTGCCTTGTCTCAGCAGTTAATGCATCTTTTGTCAAGGGACGTCCCAAAGCAAATTTAAAAAGTGGCGAAGGTGTAGTCCCCCTTTTGGTGAGATAAACTTTCATTGCGTTTACAGGGCAGATACTCTGATTAGTTTTCCCTATAAAAAGGGTATGCCCCACCCTGAATGGATCAGTTTTAGAGACCTTAATTCTGACTGAGAGGTGAGAGAGGTTAGACTGGAATGGGTGAAAGATCATATCAAGAGGTGTAAGATGAGTGTCAGGGCTGAATTGAGAGTTACAAGTCAGCTCTCCTAGCCGCATGAAACCGAAGAAGGCAAAAGTCATAGCAGCTCCAACCATGAGAGAGTCATAGCGTGAGGTGAAGTTAATTGCTAAAAGGGAATAGAATAAGTTGAGATGAGCCACAGTAATTGACAATCGAGTTCTAATGGAACTACCTTGAGATCGTTTAATGCCACGACAAACAAGGTGTAAGCGAAGGAACTTCCGAAGATTAAGCTGATAGCCGTAGCAAATGTGAAGGTGACGGACTGCTGCTAAGTTACCCTTGATAGTGGAATGCTTGACAAAGTTAGCTAGATAGGCAGCATACTGTATCAAGGTATTCTCGTCTGTTGGTAGAGACTGAGCATCCAAAGGCCTATAGAGGGAGAGGAACTTAATAAAACTTTTCTCTCCTGTACTATAGGTTTGCTGTGTAGATTCAGCAACTGAAAGACTGAGATAGCGTTGAATATCTGCCATTAGATCTTCAGGAGTACTGGTGGTACCAGGCATGGATCCCGGTTGGCTTGAGGTGCTAGCTCTCTGAACCGGTTCATCTGAAAGCGAGATAAGGAGTCGACTGTGTCATTCCTCTTACCCTCTATGTGCTCAGCTCTAATATAAAAATTGAACCTTAGAGTCAGAAGGGTTAAATGACGAACAAGATCCATAACTCTTGGGATACGAGACCTCTTTGAGTTTACAATATTGACAACAGATTCGTTGTCACAGAAAAATCGTATGCGCTTGTTAGAGAAAAAATCAGCCCACAAATGGCAGGCAACAACAAAGGCAAACAATTCTTGCTATGCAATAGAAATACCTGGCTGTCCTAGTTGCTGATGAGGTTACCACGTGCCCTGAAACCAGTGGGTCTGAAAAATGCCCTCAAAGCCCAGGGAACCAGAAGCATCGGTGTATAGAGAAAGGACATCTGAAGTGACCCAGTGAGAAGGCATGAAAAAGCTTGCCCCATTCCAATTGCGTATAAACTCCTCACACATCTCTAGGTCTTTAAAGAACCCTTTGCCCAACTTAATGTGATGGTGAGTTAAAGAGATGTTTCTAGTGAGCTGGATCATACGTTGCAAGAACGGTCGGCCTGGAGGGATAACTTTGCATGCAAAATTCAGAGAGCCAAGAAGTGTCTGTAACTCTTTAAGTGTACATCATCGTAATACAGACTTAGATTTTTTGGCAGCAGCTTAGACAAGTCAAAAAACTCACCAGTTTGTATATCTCTTACATACGAGGCAGGGATCTCTTGGTTTGGTACTGACGATTGTGGTGATTCTGTGATATTTCTCGGTTGATCTATGACAGTTTGTGGATTTCTAACTTCAGTACTAGGAGAGCTTTGGTCCCGCAGAGCATTCACGGCGGTGCGAGCCGCTTCGGTGGCGATATCACGAAATGACTCGGACATAGAATTCTTTATCATTGTTCGAAGTGTGTCCAATTGAACATTGGTGAAAGGCTGCCCGTTATCCCGGCTCTGTGGGTTGTTGTCCTCTCGGGAATCTTGTGTTTGATTGTCTTGGCGTTCGTTTTGGTTGTTGTTCAGAGGAGGGTGATCAGGTGGCACGTGACGTAATCGACCAATCACAATGATGATCACAGGCAACAAAAATATCGCAAGAATTTCATAGTCGTCGTAAAGAATAATTAATTTCCCCTCATATTACTTATCATAACCTCATATTTTTTAACTTTCGCATGGATTAATAGCAGTTATTCCTGTACACCAAGTCTCGTTTAAAGATAAAACATATTTCTATGTAAATTTCTAACATTAAGATGGCCATCACTTTCACACGCTAACACTGAAGGTTGAAATATCGTGCATCTTTATCGCTTGTCCTCTGGTTTTACAATGGATAACATGTCTGTGTTTATAAATATTTTAAATATTTAATTCCTAATAATCAAAAATATCGAGGTGAACCCCGGTGAACCTCTTACCGTTTC